ATAGAGAACTTGACTTTTGACCTGTTTTCACGTTTCTGAGCCCTGGCAAGATACCTTTTCACAATGCTTTACTTTTACAAGGCCCGTGCTGCTCTATTTTTACAAGGCCTGAGGCCAATATCGGGTAAAGGCCCTTTTATTTGCCGTGTTTGCATGGTAATATGTGGATGACAACAACTCAAAGAAAGTTGAGAACCAGTGTGCGCAATGATACTCGAAGAATGTTTAGGACACCCCACCAGAAACTGCAATGCTGTACTAATACTACGAATCCAGGACTCACTCGGAATTTTCCTCAAATCACACCTACTTCCATTCATTCCCATCCATCTGTTCATCCATCCTTCTCCCAGGTCATACAGGCCCTTGGATACTGTACATCAATATCTGTCTGATCCGGACCCTCTACGCACCGATCCAGTTATCCAATCACTGCACTCATCTGTCACGATTTCTACACAGTTGTGCCGTCTAGAGCCTCCCGCTGGCTACACTTGCACACATCATCCACTTTTCTGTTTTGCCAGTTATGGGTGCACCGTGCGTAAGAGGACACACGAAGTGCTGCTCCCTCGTCGACATATTCTCTGGGCGTTGGTCACGACTCTCTCTGGCCAGCCGAAAGAAACCAGTTTTCTGGTGACCAACCTTCAACGTGCTGAACTCCAATCTCTGTATTCCGATTGGAATGAAGAAAGTCGCGTTGTTATTCGACTTCCCTATAGGCACCAGCGTTGAAGGCCTGACTAAGGAACCGACTATATTCCTCTGGCAATAAATTCCTTATACGAACTGACTATTCCTTAGCCAATCAGATCAGTTCGTTATACGAACGCCCTTTGGGAGCACGAAGATGTACCTCAAGCCTATACGAACCAACTATTCCTTGGGCAATCAGTTGGTTACAGGAACGCCGCCCCTTTGGGAGGACGAAGATGTACCTCAAGCCATGAAGACCCGTCGGAAGCACGATGATGATGTACCTCAAGCCATGATCTGCTTGCTTGATAAGAGTAAGGAGACAAGAGGTTTGCTAGCATGCACTAGTGTGAATCTGCTGCTGCTGCTTTGTTTCTTGGCTTGTGGATATGTCGCTAAGCACCAGGCCGCGCAATTCTTCACGGAGCTCTTCAATTCCTTCACCTAAAACAGCGCATACTGGGAGAACTGTCAGCGATGCCCTACGCCGAAGCTCACAGAGGGCCTCTTCCGCTCCAGGCTCATCTATCTTGCTGCCAACCACAAGAGATGGACGTTTCGAAAGTCCCGTCTGAAACAACTCCAGCTCCTCCATGAGACAGTTGAGCTGATCCCATGGCCGGGGCCCTTTGTTGTCACCAATGCCTGAGCTCAGGTCAACGACGTACGCAAGCAGTCGGGTCCGCTCCACATGCCTGAGAAACTCGAATCCTAGACCGCGATTTTCGTGGGCGCCTTCAATTAACCCTGGCAAGTCTGCAATAGTAAATGAGAAGAAATCGTTGAACTCAACACAACCGATGTGTGGCCTCAACGTCGTAAATGCATACGATCCAATTCGCGGTTTCGCGAGAGTCAGGGCACCAACCAGTGTGCTCTTCCCGGCATTGGGAAGTCCCACTAGGCCGACGTCTGCAATGGTCTTCAGTTCCAGAATCAACTCTGCAGAGCTTCCTTTGCGGCCTTTCTCGAACTCCTCACTGTCAGCCTGACTACGTCGACCTCGTCCTCTGGCCATGGCAGCGTTCCCACGCCCTCCTTCTCCTCCCCTGCAGACAGCAATCCTTTGCCCTGGACAGGTTAAGTCTCCAAGTACAACTCCCATCTTCTTTCTGTTTCGCAGTGTTTGCGTATGGCTGGCAACTTCCCCAGAGTCTTCTGCCTCCACTGATGCAGCAGCTAACTCCTCTGACATGTCACACTCTTCCAGATGCCTCGGTTTCCCCTCTCCATCCCTTCTACTGACTTCGGATTTGCCTTCGTGCCCATCAGTTGTCAGTCCATCACCATAAGCTGCTTCACTATGCCTGCCATCCCAAGGATGCTCATCATCTGTCTCCTCTTCTCCTTCTGCATATCGTTGCCATTCTTGACCAGGTTCTGACCTTTCAAAGCTGCCTTCATGGCCAACAGGTGTCCCTTCATTTGTGCTGCAGATGTGATGCGGAGACTCCACAGAATGCACTTTGTTGCAGTGATCAAATTGTCGCTGCCCATCGTGACCTCCATGAGCTCCTTTCCTGCGATGATGTTCACCCGCCAGCAGCAAATTGCGTGACCTTTCATCGGTCGATTCCAGTGCAATAAGATGATGTTCGCCTGTCATGTCATCAGTCTCCCCCACCTCGTCAAGAAGAAGGCTACTACGTTTGCTCTCCCACCTCTCCTCGGTTATTGCAGTGAGAGAGTCTGAAGCTTGCCGACTCTCATCTTCTCCTTCTCCAAATCCCTCCTCACCCCTGATCAGACGAACTACAGTCCCGACTGGAACTCTCATAACCTGATCCTCTCCGCGTTGGCCAACTTTTTTCTTGGACGTACCGTTCCCACCACGGCCACCATTCACATGTTGCTTAATGCTGGCCAAGTCCCACAGACTAGCAGTCGCCTCCACCCAAACGTCACCACCCCTCCCACCGTTGCCACCATCTGCCACACCATGCCGAGACTGGCGGCTTCTTTGAAAACTTGTGCATCCACTCCCTCCATCGCCTCCCTTCACCCTCACAAACAACCTGTCAATGAATCTGCGATTCCGTAAAGGAGCTACTTTTCGCTTGGGTTTCCCACCTTCGTCACTGGACAGGAGGAGGGACCTCAGATTGCCTGTGGACAAGCTGCGCCGACCTTCACCTGGACCGCACCCTGTGACCGGACCGGTAGCTGCTGACCAACCATGCTTTCCACCATGGCAGGACCAAACACATCTGCGTCCCAAACTGGCCGCTTCAACAGTTGGCGGCAGCAACAAGGACAGTCTTGGTGCGGCAGGTGCGCACTGAAAAGACCTCCGCAAAAATTTCCCCGTGAGGCGCCGCCACACGCCCGCCATGGCGATTATTTTAAAGAAGAAGAAGAAGAAGACAATTATTACAGAAAACACGAAGATCTCTGGTTCACGCCAGGTAAATCAGGATCGATGGCACTGCCTGATGCTGCCACGTGTTCTCCTTAGACGAGAAGACGCGATGACGTATAAAGTCCACTATGGACCTAACACACCTGAAGCGCACTGCAGACTCAATCTTAAATGAATATGAAAAAGATGAGAGCATCCCCCCCCCCCGCTTCTTCCGACCTAAACTATGCCGGGGATAACTTTGAGCGGACATCAAAAAAAATCGCCCGCAGGAACTGCATCCTCCGCCCCGCCGCCTCTTTTTTGCGTAAACTGAGAGAAGACAACATAAGTAAGTATCACCATTCCAAGGCGTAAGCAGAGGCGACAACGCGGGTACTAATCAGAATCCCTTCGTCACTCTATCTGCCCGCCAGGACAGGGCGGCCGCGCGCCAGAGGCTGCACCACAGCGCTTTGGCCAGACACACAGCTTGGCGCCAACGTATCACTGTACACAATGTCCTGGCACATGATAGCTCATGGGGAAACGGGAAGGCAAGGCAGAGGAGGTGGGAGGTGGGAGCCCGCCTCCTCTGTGTAAGAGGAAATTTGTCTTGGCGGGTATTCCCTCTTTTTTCTTGGCGGGAGAAACTCGTCTTAGCGGGAGGGAGCCCCTGTGTCTTGGAACAGCTGTCTTTTTGGCGGGAGCCTCTCTGTCGGTCTTGGCGGCGCAGGGGGATGACCAAAGCCAAAAGCAGTCTTTTCTGACACGCGGTTAATGGA